CAGCCTGAGCGAGTGCGGGCCGGGCATATGGACATTTCGCGCTGCGCATCTGTGTCATCAGTGCATTTTCTGTAGATGGCTGCGTGTGTGTATGTGTGTGTGTTTGAGGCCAGGCGCTGGGAACAAACGTGCATCTGTTAAATTTGACAATAAAGTCCTACAGCGAAGCTGCCAAGATTGGGCAGCGGGTGGGGGCGGAAAGCAGGGGGGGGGTGGGAGAGAGCTGGAGTTTCAAAGGCGACGCCAAAGAGCCTGGCCCAGGTATTATGTCGGGAGAAGGTGAGGAGAGCAGCTGCTCCTTCTCTAGGGGTGTGTATGGGAGCAAGGGTGCCTGTGTCCCTGTGAAGAGTACACACCGATCTGCTCAACATATGTCGCCACAAATCACTGTATCTTTCATTCCTCCCTCCCCCCACTCTCCCCTGACCGAGGGGAGGGCAGAGAGAGGCGCTGAGAAGAGGCGCCGCTTCAACAGGTGTCTTCGTGCGCAATGCACCTTTTCACGCATTCACTGGTCTCCATCGGCGGCGGGGACAATGTGGACACTTTGTTTCCAGGCGCTGTGCGCCAGCTTCGGACGCCTGGGGGAGGCGGCCCTGGGCAGGGAGGGGGATCTGGAAATAAAGACCTCAGGCGCTCCTGAGGTCCCGAGCCCTCTCCTTCCTTTGTTCGAGGACTCCCTGGGCCAGAGCTTCCTTGTGCGCCCTCGGGGGTGGCATATGGCACCCTCTTACCTACCCAAGAAAAAGAACCAAGCACCCACTCAAGAGCGCACAAGGTCCCTGAGCCCTGGGAGGGGGAGTCTCTGAGGGAAAGGCGTCCTTCCCAAAGCGAATGAGGAGCCTGCCTTATCTCTCCCCACCCCACCTCCTCCATCCCCTCAGCTGGCCCAGCAGCCGTTGGGTGGGGAGCGGCGCGCCAAGCAGCACCAGCCTGCGGAAGCGCCCCAGCTCCCGGCAGATGAAATATGGGGCTGGTGAGCCCCTGGAGACCATATGTTTTCAATAAAAGAAGACAAATAGGACCGAGATAGGCCTTGCAGCCAACCTGTTATAAATGGGTGGCAATTGGGCCAATGTACACGGCCCCCGGGGGGAGGCCTGCTCGGTGCCAAATCCATGTGTCAGCCTCTGGGACAGGTGTGCCCAGGGGCCAGGGGCCAGGTCTCCCCACTCTGGGTTTATCACGGCAAAGGTAATATTGTGCTAACTATGAGTAAACAGTCATTGTGAAAACGAGGGAGAGTTTATCTGAGGCGAACTAGTTGGGGGGTGGCTTAACAATAAAGTCGCCCGCCTTGGGAGCAGGTGACGGCTGGCTGCAGGACTCCCGCGGTAGATGTTTTCCAAAGCACTCCACTTTACAATCTCTTGTAATTATTTATTAAACGAAATCTATTTATTATTATTTTAGCAAACACTGGAGACAGGTGGGGCTTTCTTTTCGTCGTCTCCTTTTGTTTGAAGGGCTGTTTGAAGTGGCCAGTCTCGCCCCGGCAGCTCGCTAGCCAGATTTTTGTCTTCCCTTCTTTCAGTGTGGAGGTGAAAGCAAGAGAAAGACGCCCCCTCCTCTGTCAAGCCATTAGCTATTCAGCCTCCTATGGCCCCCCTCCCTTCCACTCCTTTCTCAAGAAGCCCCCAGGCACTGCTAAGAATCCCCCTGCAGACAGGAAGGCAAAGGGCTGACCGATGCCTCCCTTCTTTTCCAATCTGCCTGCGGTCTCCAGGCATCAGGTTGTCGCCTCTCTCCTGGGCCCCCTGAGATTCCAGGCAAGCCTGAGCCTCAAAGAGTCGATGGGTAAGGGGGTCCTGGAGGCGCCAGAGGTGGTAGCTGGCTGGGGTCTTCAAGAACAGGCTCTGCTTCCCCACTAGAAGAGCTGTTGCACAAATACCGCCAGTGCGCACTGAGCCGTCACAGACTGCGCCTCAGCTGGCAAAAGCACAGACGTTAACTTTGGAGAGGGGTCTGTGCGTCCCCTGAAGCGGAGAGAGAGGATGTAAATCCTCAGTGTCTAATCCCCTAAGACTCCTCAACCTCCAGCCCTGCCCTCCTGGCCTGAAGAAAGGATTTGGAGAGTTCTGGTGTGATTGAAAGGTGCCCGCTGCCCCTGGCAGCGCGCGCTCCTCACCCTGTTTTTTGCGCAAAACTGGAGTAGTGTTGGTGACCTGCAAGCCTTGGAGAACCCTGAGTCAAAGGGGCTCTGGGAAGCTAGATAAAAATTCAAGCTGGTCCCAGAACTCTCTCCCAATCAAGAAGGTTCCCAAGAATGCCCAGAATATTCCCCGGTGCAGGAAGCTCTCCCTGGGGCTCTCTCCAGTACCCACTGGCCACTGAGGGCAAGTGGAAACCAAGGCCAGTCTCACCTTCCTTTCATCTGAGGGCCACTGCTAGAGGAGAGTCCCGGTTGTGGGCCGCTCTTCAGGCCTCCAGGGATGCATAGGGGTGCTTTGATCCCTTATGGCCAGGGCTCCCTCCACAGAGCTTGGAGGGGGTCGCAGAGAGCTAGGGAAGCAATGCTTCCGGTTTCCTCTCTGTTTCTAGTTTGCAGGACAAAAATCAAGCAAGACTGGGGTATGGGTCAGGAAAATAGAGGGATGAAACATGAGGGGACACTGGCTCCCCTTGGTACTGGGTCCCCCTTTTGTATTCTGACCCTGTCATTCCTCACAGACCCACACCTTCTCCTACTTTCTACGTTTTGGGGTGTCTGGTTTTGCCTTGAAAGAATGTTTTCCCCTAACCAAGGAGAGGCAGCAGGTGCAAAGGAGAGTCTAGGGCTAGGAGCCTTAGGACCTGAGTTTTCTGTGGTTCTGATAGAACTTGCTCTGTGCCCTTGGTTGACTCACTTCCTCTTTTTGGGCCTTGATTTTTCCATCTGTAAAAGGGATCTCAGGTTCTCATTCTTATAACTGGAAGATAATGTGGAGCAAATTCTGACTTAAGGGGAAACAGCAGCAAAACGTGGAACCCATGAGTGTCTGTGGAGTCCCTTTGTTGGTCCTGAGCCTGACCTTAGCTTCAGTTCCCAGTCAGCAAGGGAAGGAGCCTGTGCTAAGAGCGCAGCAGCTGGGATCGGAGGACAGCGCCCCCATCCCCGCACAGTCCTAGAGCCCCTCTCCCTGGCTCCCAAGCAATCCATCCTCTCTCCGCCTTGGTAATTCCAACCAGCCTGGGCGGGTGTCAGAAGCCCTCACTAGGCTAGATACACAAACTTACCTCTTCCCCTCACCCCATCCCCTCAGTTTCCTAACCCGGTCCTGCTCCCCTCCGCCAGCTTCCGGGAGGCTCAGGGTATCTGGAGATGCACGAAGGAAAGGCTTCGCCGCCAGTAGAGATTTAACCGGAGACCCAGGGCCCCCAGCCTCCGCTTCCTCCCCTGGGCACGTCCCGGTCAGCAGAGAGGAGCGGAAGCCGCGACCCCTCACCCTGAGTGACCGGAAGCAGAAGACCACGGGGTGTCCGAGGCGGGACAAAAGGGAGGGGCGGGGAAGAAAGGAGGATGGTGTGTTTAGGCTTCCTTTGGAACAATTTCCAGACAGCGGTAACGTGGGCCTCGGAGGGCCCGGGCGCTGTGCTCGCCGCCTGACCCCTGTCCGATGCCGCGGCAGAAGGCTGCACCAGGTAGCGCTGGCAGCCCCTGGCCGCCAGTGATTGGACAGGAGGACTAAGGGCAGAAAGAGGTGATCAGCTTCTCTGCAGCCAGCACACCGTGGGCTTTAAAAGACCCAAGGGTTTGCTGTGAACTCCTGGCCCTCTCCCGACCCCTTCTCACTTGAACTCTTGCCCTGCAGGCGCTGGACTAAACGCTAGGGTACTGTCCATGATTGGTAGCTGTGGAGTATCCCCTGGGGGGTTCCAACGTAGCCACCTCTGAGATACCATGACACGTCTTAGATTTCCAATGGGCGTGGTGGAGGAGAGTTCTAAGCCACCATCTGAGAGGTTTGGGGCATCATCTCACCCCAGGCGAAAGTCTGAGTGGCAGGGACATCTGTCTCTGTAGCCGCCTTGCCCCCCTCCCAGAATGAAGAGGGTCAGTGAAACATTGCCCTGTGTGTGTTTCCTAACCTGACCCACGGTGCAGGAGAGCAGGTGGCATCGGGAATCAGGGGACACTTTTCCAAGCTGGTAATCAGAACACCTGGCTCCTTGTTCTATCTCTTGCATGCGATTTGGAGCAAGCCTCCTCCCTCTCTGAGCCTAAATTTCCCCGTGCGTAACACACGGAGATTGACTTACCCTAAAGGCTTCCCCAAACCCCCTTCAGGGCACCAAGAGAGGCTCTGGACAGGTGCCAGGGAGAGACAGAATAGGAGAGCGGTCTGGGGCTGCCAGACGGGAGCCAGACAAGGCTCTTCTCACTGGGCGAGGCTCTTTGAGGAACCGAGAGTTGCTGGGACGGAGCCCGCGGGGAGAAAGCAAACAGAGCGACGCTCCCCTCCCCCGACCCCAGCCCTTTGTCCGGAATCCAGCTGTGCCCCGCGGGGGGAGGAGCGGGCTCGCGTGGCGCGGCCCCCGGGTCCCAGCACTGATTGGCCGGCGGCTCGGGCAGCAGCGGGGCAGGCACGCTCCTGGCCCTGGCCGAGCAGATAAAGCGTGCCAAGGGGCACACGACTCGCGGCTCAGGAGATCAGCCTGGGCAGGCGCGCCAAAAGAGCAGCAGAGGCCCGGGAACTCCTGCACGCTTCTCTTCTATAAGACTGTGGGAACTTCTAGGCGGCGGTGCCTGCGTCTCAGCTGAACTTGGCATTCGCTAAGGCCACATCAACTCCCCGCTGTGCTCAAGGCCCACCGCTCTCAACCCTTTTGCGTGTAACAAGGTAACACCTGGAAACCGCAGAGCGGCATTCCAAGGGGAAAAGGGGTTCTCTGATCAGGTGGGGGTGGCTCTTTCTCTTGTTCCCCCCCAACCACCACCGCCACCTGGACCCGGGATGGGGAAATGCGCCTGGGTGGACCGACCCACGCTTGCTTACCCGTACTTCTTACTCTGCCGCAGGATGGCGCCTCATCCCTCGGGTGTGCCAGCTGTCGAAGTGACCCACGAGACGGAGCAGCCCTTCCCGGTCGCCTCGAACAAGGAAGTGACCTGCATCGTGTCTGCTCCGCCCAGCCCCACTCGCGTGCCAGCGGACTGCGTTGAGGCGGTAGGGAGCGGCTGCCGAGGGGCCCCCAGGAAGCTCCGGGTGCGGCGTGGGGGACGCAGCCGTCCCAAGAGTGAGTTGGCTCTGAGCAAGCAGAGACGGAGCCGACGCAAGAAGGCCAACGACCGCGAGCGCAATCGGATGCACAACCTTAACTCCGCGCTCGACGCGCTGCGCGGCGTCCTGCCCACCTTCCCGGACGATGCGAAGCTCACCAAGATCGAGACGCTGCGTTTCGCCCACAATTACATCTGGGCGCTGACGCAGACGCTGCGCATAGCGGACCACAGCCTCTACGGGCTGGAACAGCCCTGCGAGGAGCTGGGCAGCCCGGATCGCGGCTCCCTGGGAGACTGGGGCTCCCTCTACTCCCCGGTCTCCCAGGCGGGCAGCCTGAGCCCGGCAGCCTCGCTGGAGGAGCGTCCCGGGCTGCAGGCGCCTGCCTCCCCTGCCTGCTTGCATTCGGGCGCCCTGACTTTTTCAGACTTTCTATGATGGCCTATCGGCCTCTGGGCGGTGGGTGCTTGGAGAGAGGGGGGAGGCGGAGGCTGTCGAGGGTGTGACGGTGGCGGTGTCCCTCACACGGGCTTGCTCCTCCTGCCTGTGGTTCTCTGTCCCGACCTCTGCTACATTCTGCCGCTGCCCGCGCCAGTGGATATTGCAGGCCGCGCGCATTTTAGGCCCCTTCCCTGGGTCCACCCCAAAATCTTGTGCAAAAAAAAAAAAAAAAAAAAAAGATGAAAACAGTAGCACTACACAGCAGAAGACGCCCCCATCTCCCACCACCCTACCCTCACTCTATTTGCGTGTCAGTGGTGACCGTCGGTCTCTTACTCCTCCCCCAGTGTGATTTAATCCAGCATTTGGTCTCTGAGCGTTTGCTCACCTCCCCAACGTCTCTTCTCCAAAGACGCCCCTGAATTCCTACTCTGCTGCCTATCAGGTCCCGTTTCGGCGCTCCACTCTGCCTTAATCCACGAAGGCGATCCTTTGCCTTCATCTCGTGCACTTTTCTGAGCCATTGCCCTCAGGGTCTCACAGTTTCGCTGGGAAGCGCCTCCCTGCCCCCCAACCTCCGCCTCCCTGCGACCTGGAGAGCCCGTGTCTTTTTTTTTTTAAATCAGTTTGTAAATTATATATCTTTTGAAATGAATTTTGGTATGGTAAATTATATGGCCCTTCCCCTGTTTTACACGTTGTATTTATTGATGAGATTTCAAAGCGAGAAAAGTCTATATTTTGTACATAACATTATTTAGGGACTGGTGAGTGAGATTTTGAGCCAATAAAATAAAAAAGAACTTATAGAAGCCTGAGCAAGGTGTCTGGATTGTGCAGAGGGGAGGGCGGCGAGGGGATGGGGTGGTGAAGCGGGGTGCCTCTGTCCAAAGAGAGGGATGATACTTCCTGGGGGTCAGGGACTCCTCCTCTGCCTGGGCTAAGGCTGTGGCGATAGGCTGGAGGCTGGGCAGACTGAGTTTGGGAGAGCAAGTCAGCTATACACGATTGGAAAGGAAGAGCTAGACGGCTTTGGTCCAGACCCCTTGTTTTATTTATGGGGCAACAACTTGTCTTACTCAAAAAGTGGTCTAGAAAAAAGACAAGCCTCCAAGTAGGGCTACTCCTGGCCTGCTTGCCCTTTCCCCCATGCCACTAGCCTGAATTTAGTTGCCTCTGAGGAAAAGAGGGAGTAACAAATAACCCCGTGACAGAATCAGAGCCTTCGGAAACACCTCCGCCTGGCTAGGCATCCCAGGAACTCTCCCAATCTGCTTCAAGTTCTAGCGCATCTTCTGGGTGCATTTTACACGCCAGGTGCTGTGCGGCGGCTCAGTGATTGCTGGATCTGAGCAACGGGGAGTAGAGAAAGTGGAGGGTCCTGCTGGAATTTCTGGCAACCCCCTTACTCCCCACCTAGCAGCCTTGATTGCAAACTTATCAAGAAATTGTTCAAGGTTTCCAGCCACTCATGCTTGATTACTCCCAAGGCAGAATAGAATTGGTACGCGATGGTGACTGGAAGTCATTCCCGGGGTGCTGCTGGAACCCCACTACATGGTTTCCGCGATCTCCAGGACCTCTGGGAAGTAGATATGAGCTCCAAGTATTCGAAGAGTACGCCTGGTGCAGGAGAACAGGAAAATAGAGGGCTGGCACCCTACCCTGCAAGTTGAACCCCAGAGATCTTGCTGGATTGGCCCTGGGCACCTGAGGAAGAAACAGGCCAGCCTCGGTAGGGCGCGAGAGCCGGTAGGTCGCTTTCCAGAGCATTTGAGCGCAAAAGTGGGGGCTTTGTAGGGCTCAATGCCTCGCCCCTGTCTCTCTAATACCATACCCATTTCAAACTGAACTTTGCTCTACTCTCTGCTCTACTCCTAGGTCCCGAAAGATAGCTCACAGGAGATATGTCTTGGTTACTGGGTCTTGTTTTGGGGGCGCAAACAAACTAATGAAGGAAGGTGTTTAGTTTCATGGCTTTAATCTGGGAGAAGATTAATGGGTTATTGCTGACCTCAGCAGCAGCCAACTTTCCACCAGGGGCATCGCCAGCAGCAGGGGTTGGGGGTGTGGGGAGGACCAGGTGTCTGCAGTTCTAGCTGCAAGACCAAACCAGTGTCTGCTACTTGCTGGGCAATTGGGGGAGGGGTGTGGACAGACCTAAAAAAATAAAAATAAAAAGGTCCATCTCTGTCCTCCAGGGACCATAGCAAGTATATTCAGAAAATAATTGAAGGCCAAAAATATTGGCGCTGGGTGGAGGTACAAGCCACAGTGGGACTATTACCTGAGGCTGGATTGGGAGGTGGGCCAGGGAAAGTGGCATTTGGGCCAGGACTAAGGGTTTGGAGAGGATGCCCTCAAGCAGAAAGGTCACTTTTCCTGCGAAAGATTGTGAGAAGTCAGTCGTGCTCAAATAAGCCAAGACACCCTTGGTACAAACTACCCTCTGAAGCTGGAAGAATGTCTGACGGTGCTGTGTTCTGGCTGGAGGCACCCACTGCCCCATCCCTCTCCTCTTTCTGAGGGTGCTCATTAAGGAGCTGTTAGTCACCCAACGCACACAGACTGGTCCTCCCACCAATATATATTTTTTAAATTATGGTTTAACCAACTCCACTTCTGGGCTGCCACAGATTTGATTAGGGGGCAGATTTGATACTGGAGTTGTCTACCAGCTCTACTCCCCAAGTAAGGAGGGGGAAGAAGATTTATAGTTTGGTTGAAGTTTAGGGCCCCTATGCCCAGGAAGAGCTCCATCAATCAAATCAAGGTGGAAAACTTCCTCCAGAGACCCTTAAGTTAAGAGCCCTTCCTCTATTAGGGCTCAGAAACTTTTTTGTGAGTTGCTCACATAAATAGCCCAGCATCACTACCATGAACCCCACCCCGAGGGCATTTGTCCTTTAGCCATTTTAAAAATCAGGCTGCTTGGTTGCTTGTGTCTCTGCTGTGCCAGCACTTGCATGGCTGCTGAGCCTCCTGTGATCTGAGGTGGTCGCCTGTGCCCCAGCTCTTTGAAACAGGGACAGGATCCCAAGCGGGAGCAGGAAAGATGCTCAGTGGAATGGTTCTTTCCCCTCTTCTGTCTTTGTCTGAGACCAAGCCTGGCTTCCAGAAAAACAGCACATGAATCTTGTGCTACCCCCCATCCCACCCACAATCCTCTCCCCCCATCTGCACACATAGCAGGTAGATTTATGGTGCCCTGCCCCCATCCCACCCCACCCCCAAGCCAGCCTCAGTGGGAGGACAAAGCATCCCAGGGCCATTGGAATGCTAATGTCTGGGAGCCTGGCTGCTGGGCTGGCACAAAGGCAGGCGGAGCCCCAGGCGCACGCGACCCCAGAGGCTCACTCTGCTCTCTTCTCCCCTATGGGCCACTCTGCCTGGCTTTGTGACCTTGGGCAAGTCTTTGAGCCTCAGATGATTCACTTGAGAAGTCCCATAATACCCTTTCACTGGATTTCTGGGCACCTACGAGAAGGCCGTGCTTGCGGTGTTCCCAGTCTCAGCCCCCCAGACCTGAAGAGGTGGAAAAGACCCATCAGGACCTGGGACAGGGGACAGTATAGGGAGGGAGTCGGGGAAATTCGGCTGAGAATGTGGCACAGAATAAGCACTAGTTATATCATAATTACATTTTTACATTCATGTAATTAATATTCTCTGCTGTGCCCCCCCCCCCAAAATACCTGCAGACAGTGCTCAATAAAAGTAGTAGACACTCTAAACTTTACCTGTCAGCTATGTCTTCAAAGGGCCAAGAACAGTGGGAGACTTGAGGCTGAACACTTCTTATCTTAGGCACCCTCTTACAGCAAGGCAGGATGGTCACACCCATGGAAACAGAGACCCGAAGTCTTGGAAGTAGGGGACTTACCCAAGGCCCTCAACCACAGCTGGGACTGTGACCCTGGCTCTAAGTTGGCAGTTTAGAGCTCTCCTCTGCGCAGTCTTTGACCTAAGGCATGTCCTTGGGTTCTTGTAAAGCCAAGGGCTCCCTTCCTCTTTGGCCGAGCCCCCACATCCACCCTTGACCCCTGGAGAGGTTCCAGGTTCCCATCTGTCTCCTCTGCTTCTGTGATTCGAGGAGCGAAGACAGGCGGAGAGGGTACTTGTATGGCTGACACGGTCGGCACCGCGGTCCTGAAAGACTGCGCCGCACCCCTGACCATGGTGCTGAAATAACCGCCTTGGTTCAGAGACAGCGACGTGCCTGGGAAAGTAACGCTCTCAATATGGAAAACCATTTATCAACCCCCTCTACTCACGTTTTCAGGCCAGAGTCCCTAGGGGCTCCCCGTGGACATGTAGACCCAAAAGACTGTCAGTTCTCCTTGGTGTGGTGGAGAAAGCATGTACTCTGTTACTACTAACTGACTGTGACCCCAGCAAGGTCTTTTTCTCTCTGTTTTTTAATTAAACCCCTTTGCCTCTCTAAGGCCCATTTCCTTTACCTGTGAAGTTAGGACAATAAGTAGTAGCCACTTAATTGGGCTGATTAAGTGTACTTGTTTTTAGTGCAGGTTAAGCTGCCATAAATGGTAATTATTATTATGAGCATTTTCATTTGTCTCAAATTCTTCTCATTCTCCCAGGTTTCTCTCTTGGGGGGGGGGGTACTTTAATATGAACTTGAATTTCTTATGCACCCCTGTGCATGTAAACTGGCACAAAGGCCAAGGGCCATCCACCCCTTCCTGGTGACCCTCCCTAGTTTAGATCTACTCTTCCTGAGTTCCAGGATTATATGTCCAGATGTTACTTGGGCACTCCCAATGATACATGTCCAAAATGGAGTTCCTTTCCCCTAATCCCAAACCAATGATGCCCCCTGTTTCTGATCTCACAAAGTAGCATCACCTAGTCATCCATAATAGAAATCTGGGGTTCTTCTTGGCTTTCCTTTCGCACTACCCAAATTCAATTAACCCTTAAGTTATGCTGATTTGCCCTTCTCACTATTTCTTGAAACTCACCTCTTCTTTATCTCC